ATTATCTGGACAGGATGGCAACTAGCAGCCCCATGAAGACCTTCCTCAACCTTTTAGGAGAAAGCCCGGTAAGTCTGGTAAAGGCACATGGCTTTGGAGTCAGTTGAGGAGCTAATTAGAGGCATCTCAGTCTGTTTCAGTGTAATGCCATAAGAAGTGTGTGCTATCTAGAAAGCAGAACATCTGGTGAACAGGCTAATGAGAGCCAGACTGGGGGAACTCTGAGGAAACAAACCCTGTAGAGTTTGTTTATAACTCTTTGAATTTGTAGGAGGTTACTAGTTTGTTGGATTTTTTAAAATTATTATTATTTATTAAAACAAATGCAGACACCAAAGATCAAACAAGGAAGGTGCAAACTGACTTCAGTTTGACATAAAATAGCCCAGCTGGGAAGGGTGAGTTCTCCCTCGTTCCTGTGAATGTTTTCTGTCCCTTATTCCCCTCTCGGCTCTGCCCTCGAGATCCCCCGTGGCCGCCTGAGCTCCTCTGAATGAGAGGAGTTTGTTTGCTCTCTCAGCCAATGGAGAGTTTGTCCTTCCCCTAAGTAGAGAATTTGTTTTGCAAAGGGAGAGGTTTGGGCTGGGGAAAGTTTATGCTCCTTCTCTTTCTTTCTTTTTTGTTTTTTTGGTTTTTATTGTAATGATGACATATGGAAACTATTTACACAGGAGCATGCTCTGCTGCACTGAATGGAAATGTTGGAGTCCCGGCAGTATCGTTCCGGATGCCTTGTGTAAGCAGCCAGCTGGTTTTGCTTTTTCTTTTTTCCTCTTTTCTTTTTTTCCCCTCCCTCTCTCCCTTTTCAGGGAACGTCTGGGATAAGTTACACAAGTGTGGAAGGAAGCTTTGCCATCTGCGAACAGCTCAGTTCGTTTACTTTGTCATGCCCCTTGTACTGTGAACTTCACAAATATCTGTTTTCTTTTTTTGCTGGGTGGGGGGAAACTCCTTGCTGTGACTAGTCAGCACTTTGACTCCTTTCCCATTAGTTGTTCATGTTCGCTGGTGAGCAAATTCTGCTATATGCCAAAATAAGAGAGCGTGGCACATGAAGCCTTGCTTTACCACCACGCTCATGCTTAAAAGCTCTTTGTCTCGCAGCTAAGCCCTCCAACAACTTGCGCTTAGAAACATCCTGCCGCTAAGACAGCAATAGAGAAATGATTTAACTGAAGTCTGAGCCACCTTTCTCAGAGGGGAGGGGAGAAAACATTTAGTTCTGCAGAGAGCAGAGGAAAATCTTTTGTGTGTAGCTTTCCCTTGAGGAAGCTGCGAGACTGAGGATCAGCTTTCGAAGGGGAGGGAGGAACTTCAGCTCTGACTTGTCTCCCTCTCCCCAACTCTGAACGCAAGTGTGCCCGCTGGCCGACGCGGTGGCTGCCATGCGGTGGAGAGAGCCGCCTGCCATCTACTTCGAGGATTACGGGAGTCCTGTGGAGAGATCCTCCTATCTCATTGAGCTCGATACTAATGGTAAATGCCGTCGGGGATGTTCTGCAGCACGAGCTGAGCGGAGCGGAGGTTGCATTAGTCTGTGTCATTGTTATCATGGGAGCAGCTGAGGAAATTAGCTAGCTGGAGGGCTGCCAAACAAACAGTCAGAGGGTTGCTTTTCAAATTTATTATTATTTTTATTATTATTTATTACCCAGATGATGCAGTTGCCTCAGGGATGCTAGATCAACCTTCTGGTACCTGATGGGGAAGGAGCTGATCCACAAAATGCAGCTCCCCACCAGAACACTTCACCAGTACGTTTTCTGTTGTCTGTGCCTAGAAAGATGATGTCTGGTTTAGACAGGAGGAGAACATCTTGGTTTCTAGAGTTATTTTTTTGTTTCTGATTTGCATCTTTGAGTGCTGTTTCGTATTCGCAACCTTGATCTCACTAGGACATCTCTTCTGTTTCAGCTGCGAGTCCTCTGTGTGAAATGCAGAGGGGGGTCCTGGGTTTTTATTGTGGCAGCTGTGGCTCTGCATCGGTGAAGGGGTTTCTGCCTCTGTCAGGAGCATGCAGTGCCGTTTCTCTCGATGAGTGCAGCTTTTGGCATGGACTCCCTCCCCACTCCTGAGGGTGTTCTAGAAAGACTGAATCAGTGTATCTATTCCTAGTGTTGATCCTTTTCAAAGAGAGGTTGGTCTTTGCGAAAGAACTGCTTCAGGGTTAAAGGTAGTTTGGGCATCTCTTGGTAGGGTACAGTGGTTTGGTGTTTTGTTTAATGCTACAAACCTTTGCTGATTTGACCACAGTATGTTTTGATGTTCTTAAATTTTGTATATACTGTAATGCTCCAATAACATAGTAATATTGCAAGCAACCTGCTTAATATGTCCCTCCCTCTTCCCCAAAAGAGCTCGTGCAGCCAAGGTGTTGATTCTGTGCTTTTTCAATATCCCCTGAACTGTGAGAGATGAATCACACTCAGATTTTCTCTGAACACTTGCTGTGTTTTGAAGGTGAGTTATGGAAAGGCCTGGAACTCCGGCTCCTGTTAGTGCCTTCACAGTTGTTGCTTGGTTTGAGCAAGGCATCCTGCAGCCTCGCCCCAGCCACCAGATAATGAAGGAGCTGTGGGTGACGTGCTGTAGAGCTGTCCAGGTGACATCGTGGATGGCACATATAGCTCTGGGTGTCACTGGACAGCAGGTTATGTGTGACAGGGAGAGGTGGCACTCTCTGCTCCGATGTACCAGTTACTTGTGCGCCTCAGCAAAGTTTGGGGGTGTTTGACAGCTCTGCGCCGGTCCATGGTAACGCTTGAGGCCTTTAAGGCTGGGGGCTGGATGCCACTTTGTGCTCTGCCTCTACCGTGACCCAGCTTAGTGCCCCACGGAGGGGAAGGCAGGCAGGACGGGGCTACAGTGTGTTTCGTCTGGCAGCAAACAATCTGTTAGGATGGGAATGAGGATTGGAAAATAACTTGTCTTCTGGGCAGTAAAGATCTTCAGCAGTGAGTCCAGGTTCTGATGGAGATGTGCTCCTTCTGCAACTCTGTTAAGCATTAAATGCAAAAAGGTTTTTGCTATCAGGCTGCAGTTTGAGGGAGTCTGTCTCTTTGAAACACATACAAAAGCTTCGTAAATAATAACATTTAAGAACTTTTTAGAGCTCACAATATAAAGCTTCTGATTTTTGCATATTGCTGTCATCTTTTAGTTAAAAGGCAAACAAACTCAGAAGACTGCCATTCCAGTTCTATAGATAAATAAAATCTCTGTCATTCAGTTTTTTCAAGAACTGTGCTCATTCAAGGTGTAAAAGGGGTGTGGGGGAGGAATCAGCCTCATTCAAACATTTGTCCAGATTTTGAGTGGTATTTTAAGGGTATGGGGGAAACAAGGAAGAGAAATAGGCTTAAATGCTGCAGAATTCTCAGCAATCTGAGTATGCAGTCTGGAAGGTCTTCACAAATCCCAGATAAATGTTATCTTAATTTGATTTGAGGGTGGAAAAGGCAGCTGTGGCTCTGCATCGGTGAAGGGGTTTCTGCCTCTGTCAGGAGCATGCAGTGCCGTTTCTCTCGATGGGTGCAGTTTTTGGCATGGACTCCCTCCCCACTCCTGAGGGTGTTCTAGAAAGACTGAATCAGTAATTCGATGAGAATTATTTTGTCACAGCAAAGAGATGCAGCAAATTTTCAGCATGCTGTCATGGGAGAGGAAAAGAACCTCATTGTAATTTTTTCCCACTCTCAGACAACTTCTCGTAAGACAGAGAGAACAAGCTACCACATCACAGCTTCTGTGCTCATAAAAAGGGGGAAATCAGCACTTTTGCACTGGCAAGATCAATTTTACATGTACCCTCTTTGGGAACATGAGGCACTGGAGGAGGGAAGTCTCTACTGAGAGCAAGAACAACCATGTGGTTTGGGTAATGATTGAAACTGGAGAACTGAGTGCATGGACAGCTCCACCACAGGTTTCGTGCGTGGCCCTAAGCAGGTCTCGCTTCTGTGGGGTCTCTGCTCAGTATTCTTTGTCAAAGGTGCAAAATAAAAATCCCAGTCCCAGAAGAAGAAACCAACTGATATTCCCTTTTTGAACAATAATTGTCTTCGTGCATGTTTTTCATGTGTCTTAATAGCACTGAAGCTGTAGAATGCAAAAAATGGCAAGTATTCTGGAGTTTATATACATGCCCTGCGTAGCTCTCCCATGGGAAGGGCACTATGTATGTGTAGCTATGCTTGGGAGCTGCTTTTTGCAGTAGAATTGTATTTTTTAAATGAAATTTTTAGTTATGAAATCTGGTACAAGTGTTCATTGTTTTATAGTGCTTTACTGATGAGACAGACCCGTTCTTAGAAGTTTCAAAATCAATCTATGGGATATGAATAGAAAATTAATCTTGCTGTTTGTTTTCATCAGAGGAGTATTGGTACTTATCTGCACCAAAAAGAGTGTTGCAAAGATGCATTGTTTAATGACTCTGTAGAGCTCTGAAAAAATTAGGCTTTCTACTAAAAATACTGACTGCTGCTATTAGTGTACTATACAGCTTCTATACTCAGACTGGTTTCCCTTGCCTGTAGTAGTCCTGTACTCCATTCTTCTGCGGTCTCTCCTACCATTAAATGTGAAAAGGCAGTGTTCCTTTAGCAAGCCCACTTTTATTTTGTGGGTTGGACATCCTCAGAGACTTCTAGATGTTAGCTGCCTGTTTATAGTTTATGACTGCTGATAGTATGCTACGAACATGACAGCACAGATCTCCTGAGCCAGGAGACCTGCTTATTGTATTAAATAGGATGCTGTCTCTTTTGATGATCTTCTGGGAGCATTCCCGTGTTGAAGTGCTGAGTTTGAGTGCGTCTCTTAAAAGCTCCTACATGGGAAGAGTCAATTTGTCTGTGTACAAGCTGTCAGGTTCCTGGGTACTCTGCCACCTCTTGATGCTTGTCTCTGGTCCCAGTGCCTGGCTTGTTTGCGTGCCTCCTGATCAATCTCAGCTCGCTTAATTGTAAATCCATTTTTCTCTTATTGTACTGATGCAGATGGAGGTAGCTATGACATTATTAATGATGCGTCCAGCCCTGCTGCCGGGGAATGCTGTGCGCAGCAAAGCTCTGCCCGACACAACTGGGAAATGAACTACCAAGAGGCAGCAATCTACCTCCAGGTGAGCCCTGCTGTTTGGTGTATTGTGTGAAAAATGAACTTCTGAAACTATGGTAGTTCTTGATGACAAGAAACAAAGAGCTTCAGTTTTGAGGTTAAAAAAATCGGTGCTTTGCAAAGGAATCCGCTCAAAGAGTGGGGAGATGCTGGAAGTGCTTTCAGACGGGCTCTGGCAAGTCGTTTGGGAGCAACTGAACAAGCTACCCATCCTCTCCCATCTCTCCCAGTGCCAAGGACTGTAGTAGTTGAGGGATTCAGCACATGTTCAGTTCTGCCACCTTACCATGGAGATTTCTGTAACTTGTCATAGATCGTCATTTTATCTCTTCAGTTGCTCCAGGGTGGATGGTCAGCACTCTCCTGGAGACATCTCATGTTCTGGAACTGCAGGTCCTAATCCTGTCTTGGCCACAGATTTGGTGGGTGGCCCTGGGATGTTCGTTTAGCATCATTCAAGCCCTGCAGGTCATGCAAGACACAAGAGAAGGTAGAGGTCTTGATTTCTACAGGAAGAAAGCGTGCTGAGATTAGGATCAGCCCAGGAGAGGAATTTATCCTATTTAAAAAGAAAAAACAAACACACCCCACCCATGCTCCAGTTACAGGGAACACCATCGTTACTTCAACAAAGGTATAATATTTTTAAGATCGCCGTACAGTCTGGTGTGATGAATTAGGTACCAAAACTGAGCTTCTCCCAGAGCTGGCCAGTCTGAAATTGTTGCTGGTTCCCTTACTGTCCTTCCTTCCTCCTTCTCTTCGTTCCCTTTCAAAGGCTCTGCATTGCAGCTTGAAGTGCTTTGGACCCAGTTAGGTTTTTTGCTTAAGTCACTGCAAGGTGATTGAAACCCTTTGTTCCTCCCTGCTCCTACCCCACAGGACTGAGAAGTATTGCTTCTCTGACATTTTAAAACCGGGTGGGCTTGGACCTTGGTAATACTTCAGCTTCGCCATATGCTAGAGCAGCACTGGCAATATAATGGTAGCTCCAGCCCCTCCCGGGCTTTTGTTTAAACTCATGATTATTGGAGATGCTCTGCAAAGGGTCATTGAGCTGCTGCAGTGTCTGATGGTAATGTACGCAGCAGGCTTGGCCCTTCAGATGCAGATTATTCTTGCTGCTGCCTTGACCAATGATCATAATGACAATGTCCTTGAAATGAAGTAGACATAACTTAAAGAGCATGCAGATTTTTTTTTTTTGCCCGTGTCTGTGGGCAAGAGTGTCTTATCTGAATAAGAGGACTTTGCTGTCCAGCAACGTTTTGAATTGCTTGGCTACCAAGAGGCAGAATTTAGACTATTTTTCATTCTGCAAGTGTGTTTTGTCAGGCGTGAATAAGAATGCCCTGCTGATACAAGCTAGCGCTCTCTTTGAGTGGGGGGGGCTTGTGTTTTATGGAGCTGGCTGCTGGGTTTTGCCCTGCTCGCAGTCTGGCTCACTGACCCGGCAGTGTGTGTGTGTGTGTTCTTAAACAGAATGTGAGCTTGCCTGTGAGTTGAGTAAATGAGAAACATTTGAAACCCTCTTCTGAATTAGTCTCCAGAATGCTTCACTTCTTAAAGGAGATACTGTTTCCTGACCTTGTTATCCATTTGCAATCACAGTTATTCTACTTTGATAGTAATAGCTTACTGTCCTTACAGTAATTGCTTACTTGGAAAGATGTTAATTTAAAAAAAAACAAACAAACCAAAAAACAACAAACAACTTTTTGTGCATCTGAGTGTCCCAGCTAGGGAAAAATGATCTCTCATGACAGTTTCCAAGAAGCAGCAAGTTTTCTGTGAGTGACTAAAGCTCCCTTGCTTAAACCATTGACTCAAGAAAGAGAAGAAGCTGTTGGGTGGTTCTGCATGAAAAACCTCTAAATTCTCCCCAAACTAAGTTTTGTCCTAGAGGTAAAATTAGTAATGATGTAGCTGTTTAAAAATCAGTTGTAGACAAACTGTTAAGATGGAGTATCTGACCTTTTAATGTTAATTAAGCTTTCTAGTTAAGAGGGAATGACGGATCAGCATAGAGACTTGTTAATTTTTCATGGAGTCTGTCTTCTCACATTCCTGAAGCAGAAAACAGTGCGTGTGCTCCAGTGTTTTCTCCCAGATGTTTTGCAAGGCCAAGATAAGCAGGAGCAACTGTCAGCCAGGTGCCCTGGAGCTTATCTGTGTGCTTTTGTGTTCTGTCCTGCAGAAGTTTAATCAAAGAAGTCTGTAAACATGTGGAAGTGGTTGCAAATAAATGAAGTGCTGTGTTTATGTTGGGATGTTGACTAAAGTTTCTTTGCCTACCTTTATAAACTCTTTCAGCACTCTTCCTCGTTTTGAAAAGGCTCAAGGGTTTCTGAAGCAGGAGTTTGTGGATATTAATGAGTTTCATTACTGAAATATGCTTATGAACAGAAGGGGATGTCCCGTGTGTGTAGAGTTCATTCCTCAATAAACAGATCAATGTCAGGCTGTAAAGTGGGAATAGTCTGTTGGGAATTGTATCTAATCCTTATAAAAGTCTGCGTTCTTCATGTGGAAAGCTCTGTTATAGTACCGAGAGTTACTAATGCTGTTCTCTTCTTTATTCCTGCTGCCTTAGGAAGGAGAAAATAATGATAAGTTCTTCACTCACCCCAAAAATGCCAAAGCACTTGCTGCCTACCTCTTTGCACACAATCACCTTTTCTACCTAATGGAGCTGAGCACAGCACTGCTTCTCCTGTTGCTGTCTCTCTGCGAGGCGCCAGCTGTTCCTATGCTCCGTCTTGGCATCTTTGTAAGTACTTTGGGGCAAAATGAAGAAGTCTGCCTGTTTTGCGCAGGTGGGTAAGAGGAAAAAGAAGGCTAAACATAGAGGAAGAACGTAGCAGTAGTAGGAAAAAAAAAAACGTGGCTTGTTCTGTAAATTGGTTGACAGCAGATATGTCAACCAGCAAAACATCCTTTTTTCATCTGATGTGCGTAGACCACAATGAAAGTGACACTTATTTCATATTATCAATTTGTGCAGTTCTTAAATTCTTTCACTGTTAGAGAAGTGTGTGGTTTTCGCTTTTTCTTGAGGTAACTCAAGAATCTGTGTGCTTTGACAAGGTGGTTTTCATTGTCAGGGTTGGTGCCGTTACCCCAGCACCACCACTGGTTCCTAGAACACAAACAGATCTCAGCCTGGGACAGGTCGCTAAACCTTCTCCTGTCCTCTCCTCCCAGTGTTGTGAGGACTTTTCAATGTGCGCGTGTCTTTGAGGGACTTGAAGTTTTATGTCTAACCTTCACAAAATGCAGGTTGAGAGAAGGGATACACAAACTGGTGTGTACTGTTGTCAGTCCACAACCACTTCACGAGGTCAGGCACAGTGCTAGGAGCTGCTGTTGCTGGTGGGAGAACCTACATCTGCTTTTGGAGCTGTTAATGGCACCCTAGGACCATGCCAGGGGTGTAGAACAGCCGTGACAACCTTGGGGTCAAACTGTTCCTCAAAATGAGTCAGGGCTGCATAACTCAGTTTGGGTTTTGAGCTGTGACTAAAGCTGAGGTTGTAAGAAAATACTGTCATTGTCTTTGTGGTGCATTTTGCATCTCCCAACAGAGAAGGGGTCTATCAGCACTGCCAAAAAGCTGCATTCTGTTCCAGAGCTTGATCAGCACCCTGTCTGTGGTGTCCAGAACATTATTTCAAGAGAAAACCCTTCTCTATATAAATTCTGTCTGCCCAGCAGCTTTTCTTCCTGCATTTCACTAAAAAAATTGCAGTCTCAAACTTTTTTAAAAGGTTTTTGCTCGAGTTGCTGGTGTCTCACCCTTTTGTTTCAAATGTATCAATACATTTTTTGATGTGTTATTCAAGTCTAAAAGGGATGTGGATTTCCAGGAAATTCTGGGCTGATACCGAATAGAGGAAAATTCTATGGGCTTTAATACAAGCACAAAGCAATACATGTAGAAACTTGGAAAAACAGAGGGTTGTGCTAGCTTTAAGAGTGGCCTTGGGTTTTCCTGCATGTCACAGAGCTGTGCTCAGACTGTTGTCAAACCCACATGCTTCTTGAAAAAGGAAGGGCAGAAATGTTGCCTCTGATGTGCTGCTGTTTGTAATCAGAAGCGCTGGTTTAAGCTTTGCTGTATTGTAACAGGTCCATGCAACCCTGGAGCTGTTTGCGTTAATTGTGGTAGTCTTTGAACTCTCGATGAAGATGAGGTGGCTGGGCTTCCAAACCTTTATCAGGCACAAAAGGACTATGGTGAAGGTAAATTGTCTGTCTGATTGTCAGTGTTTCTCCTTCAGCATCTTCGGGAACCGAAGAACCGGATTAAATATTGGCCTGTACTGTGGCAGGGATGACTTAGCCATGTGTCCCAGCTGCCAAATGATTCATGTGAGATCTCTTAAGCTCTCGGAGACACCTCCCATCCTGAAAGTGTCTAAATAAATGGGTGGTCAGCGAGAGCTTTGCCTTTCCCAAAAGGAGACTGCAGCTGTGCCTCTCATTAAACTCCTTTTTTGCAGACTTGCGTGCTGTTTGTACAGTTCATAGAGGCCATCGTGGTGTTGGTGCGCCAAACCTCGCACGTCCGGATAACGAGAGCTCTGCGCTGTATCTTCTTGGTGGACTGCCGTTACTGTGGTGCCGTCAGAAGGTGAGTGGTCAGCTGGCTGGGTTTTCTGCTGTCATGCCTGGGACTGGGGTGGAGGAAAAGCACTCTGATCCTGCAGGCATCTCAGGAAAATAAGTGTCTTTCATGGGCATTTCAGATCTCCAAGATCTTTTGTAATTGCGACTGAAGTGTACCTGGTGTCTTGCCTATGTAGGGAAATTTCATGGGTAGTAGCTTTGGATGTGCTCACGGTACACAGTGCTTATGTGTACTGTCCTCAGCTGTATAAACTACCTCAGAGAGCACAACACGTGAACGTGGCTGTGTTGTTTCTGGCTCCTAGGTTTGCCTGTAAACTGCACAATGAACCACAGAACTAGTCTTTAGTCTGGAGAAGGAAAGTTGACTGGGTGACATTAGTACTGTGTGCTGTACCTGAGAGCTGACTGCAAAGGACAGATAGGTAGCTTGGAAATGATCTTAATTTACCTAGCTTTCTACTTCTAATCCTTGGAAGGAGTGGGAAGAAAGTCCTCAAGTATGGTGTGTTGTTGGGTTTTTTTTTCCCTGCCAACCTGGAGGAGAAAGCATGCAAGTTTTACTTTATTAATGTTTTCTTATTTTTCCAGAAATCTGCGACAGATCTTCCAGTCCCTCCCACCATTTATTGACATTCTTCTCCTCCTGCTTTTCTTCATGGTGATTTTTGCCATCCTGGGTGAGTTGTATTTATGGAAGGTGAAGTGATACTCTTAACCAGTTATTGTCCAAAAGCAACACAAACAGCCTGGATGAATATAAAGATGATCAGATTCAGAGTCCTGCCAGGATCTTCCATTTATCCCATTTCATCTGCAGTCATCTGGAAGGCAGAATTAAAGATCAAAAAAATTTAGAAGCTGGGTATTTGATTTTGAGACAAAGGTCCTTTTGACCTCTTCCAGAGGATAGTCTGTGGTGTGTGTGTGTGTTTGTGGTTTCCAAGTTCTGTTTCCATCAACTATTCCTCAATCTTGTAAGTTTGGTCTACATTCCCACAAATGCATGTGTCTGTAGTGTACCTGCTACAGTCCTATACTCAAACCATCCTCAGAAAGTTTGTTTTCCGAAAGGATCGGTGAAATGCCAATGACATGTATTGGCAAATCTATATGGAGAAGGCCTTCCAGATACTCTCCTCTTCACGGTGTCAGAGAGGGCTTACTCTTAGTGTGACCTTCTCTTTGGGAACAGAGACTCACCACTCTGCTGCTTGACATTAAACAGACTTTATTTTTGTTTGTTCTTTCCCCCTTTCTTCTCTCCTCCTCTACCTTCTCTGCTGCTTCTCTAGGTTTTTACTTGTTTTCTCCTAACCACTCGGATCCGGTGAGTATCACTGATTCTTTCAGCTGAAGCGTGAGTCCCATTTTGACGTGCTTAAGAATCAAACATTACTGTGTAGACGTAGCTTATTCCTGTGTGGTGGCCTGGGAGGCCAGATGCTGGCTGGTCAGGGGCTGCTTGTCACCCTGGTTTACCCCCTGTTGGGAAGGAAGACGGTGCAGGCAACTTCCTCAAAGACAGGATGTCCCAAAGGGAACATTCACGGAGTTGTTCCGTGTTCTTGGTGTCTTAATTCAGTCGAACGAGCCACCTGCCGCTGTCCCCAGGGGAGGAAGGTATCTGGGTAAAAGCTCGGCCACCTCGGACTGTGCCTGTCAGAGTCCAGCAGCCACTAGTTCCTGCTGCTGCCGTCTGTAGCTTGCTGGGAGTAGCTACTACAAAAATGTGTAGATGAGCTTTTAATTTTTTTAACTCTTCACATGCCGTCTCTCGGGGACCTTTAAAAAGGACCAAACCTGAAGTACCCTTTCCCTAGGGGAGGCATCAGGGAATTGTAGAAGCGCCTGTATTCAAGTGGGTGAGTGGGTTGGTTGGTTGTTTTTTGAATGAAATGTCGCTATGAAGTTCTACTTGCATTTTGTCATGGGGTTTTTTTCTTTCAGTACTTCAATACCTTAGAGAACAGCCTCGTGAATCTCTTCGTGCTTTTGACCACTTCAAAGTAAGTTCATGCTTTTCTAGCTCAGTCTCTCCCTTTGTCCCCAAAGAAATCTAGCAGAGCCAAGAGTTTATTTGCAGAAATGCTCTGTCTCCAAACGTGACCCCTTTCCTCTGCATGAGAGGGGGATTTCCTGGATCAGCCTGCATGGGAAGAACTGGTATTTCATTTTGTTTTAGGACACTGTGACCTCAGATGCAGAGTTATCTCTAAGCGACTCAGACCACTTCATCGCTGTGAGGGCAATAAGGGGGGAAACAGCTTTATTAGGCCTTGGTCCAAGAAGGGAAAGTTTCTATTTGTGCTCCTTTGTCAGCTGACAGTTTGCTGTTGTGAAGTAACTTCCTATTGCTCTGCTTCAGTTCACCTATCTGCTAGGAAAGGGGGATAACACCAGTGGGTAAATATTGATCTGCTGTCAGGGAGAGCTCTGAGGATTAGGAAATTAGCAAAGGATGGAATAAATCTTAGGTTGTAACACTCTTACACCAAGGCTGTGTTGCTGTCGTTGCTAAGTATCAAAGCACAACCCTTAGCCATGTTACAAATCCCTTTTGCCCATTTGGTTTTCAGGATGTGCAAGGAAAGTGCTTTTCACATTTATTTTTTTCATCATGCCTCCATGTTCTTGCTGCTCGTTGCTAGGCGCAAACTTCTGTGTCATGAGCAACCACACGTTTTGCAGAAGTGTGCGGGTCTTTGGATGTGAGTTTACACACGCATCTGCGTCCTGTGCCTCTTGCCTTTGTAGTGGGAAGTGTAGCATGAGCTATTCACTGCTTAAATTGTGTCTTTTTCGGATGCAGTTTCCCTGATGTGATGATGCCATCTTATGCCCGGAACCCCTGGTCCTGTGTCTTCTTCATAGTGTATCTCTCCATTGAGCTGTACTTCATCATGAACTTGGTGAGTGTCTTGTTGAAGCACTTGACTTCTCTCTGCCTGACTTTGGAGCTCATTGCCCAGCAGAGTCTTCCCCATTCCCAAGAGTGCTCTGTAATAATCTGAGACCCTTTGGCAGAATGCTTCTAGAAATGGCAGCTTTGCTACACATGGGAGTCTTTTAATGTTTAACCACAAGGAGTTGAACTAAATCACAGAAAACAGAATGATACAAGTATCTTTCAACCTCTCTCACATTAACATCATGCTTGGAGTGACATACTCAGTTGCATGAAATTTATTGTCCTTTTCTGTCTTAATTATTTATCGTAAAATGGCATTTTATTATCTGGGCTTGCCTGAAATACTTTGTAAATCAGTTTGAAGGGGATGGAATTACTAGGTATGGCAGGACTTGGAGTGCTGATAACTGCAGTGTGAGAGCATGGCTGCTGTGCTGGCTCTGCTTCTTGCAGCACCTAGGGCAGGGCCAAGACCAGCTTAGGTGAGGATGTGAGCGGTGGAAAAGGGGCTGTCAAAGGAGTTGAGGAATTCTGCAACCCCAGGTGAGTGATTTGATGCCTGTAGTGGGCTTGGATTTCGCTGCTGCTGTCCTAGATGGAGGGTTAGTTTTGACATGTGTTTGCCAAAGCTCCCGTGGAAGGGTGAGCCCAGAAAGCAGCCCTCAAAACCCTCTTTCCAGGAAGAGATCGGGGCATTTTAACAAACCTTTTGATACTGTTTTCTGTTGGCATGTGTGGGGTTTAGCCTTAGCTCTTAAAACCACTAGCAAGTGTTAGGAGGCCAGAAATGTCTGGGCCTCTTCCAAAAAGTGGATCAGCGTGTGTGCAGTGTGCTTGGTGATCCTTTTGTGGGATCCCTTATGGCCAACGGGCCCTCGCTGACTCCATTCTGCCTCAGTCAGTGTAGCGCTTAGTAAATTCCTCCTGCAGGCAATGCCTCTCCTTGCCTCTGGATGTTCCTGCTTGTTCGAGAAGCACTGCCTCAGGTAGCCGCAGAGTATAAGGATCTCTCCTGTCTTCTCTCTGCAGCTTCTCGCTGTTGTGTTCGACACTTTCAATGACATCGAGAAGAGGAAGTTTAAGTCCTTGCTGCTGCACAAGCGCACGGCCATACAGCATGCCTACCGCTTGCTGATCACCAAACAGGTACGGGGCCCTGCAGGGAGGCTGAGAACAGCCTGGGGTGCGGCAGGAGGGGAGGTCAGCAATGTTTTAAGAACACCAGTGGTCTGGAGTGTTTAAAGAGCATGTTCCAGAAAAGATGATTTATGTCTGTTGACTGTAATCATACTCACCAAGGGCCACTGTGTTTTCATTTGTGTAACCTGTTTATATCTGTTTCTGGAGAAAAACCGAAGTAGTCTGAATTTCAGCCCCATGTGAGGTTATGGAAGTGTCTTGATAAAATGAGTGAAGTTTGTTCTGGAAAGCGTGCAATCATTGATTTCTCTCTGATTCAGTGTGGGTCACTTGAGGGCTTGCTTCTCAAGCACTAGTACTTAGAGGAGGGGTGGGTTATACAGGTGAAGGCACAGAACAGTTGCTAGATACTGCATGAGTAAATGGTGCAGAAACAGAAGTAATTCACCTACAAACAACGCTTTATGGGGACAGAGCACTGGGGGAGAGGGTTGATTTCTTGCTTAACTTGTGGAACAGGAAGATAAATAAGGCCCAAAAATAACTAACCCACTTCTAGTAGATTAGTTCATGTTTAGGGCACATTCATTATATGAACAGTTCCTGAGGAATAGCTGATAGTCTTAAAAAAGTGCCAGTAGTGGGATCTGTTAGGCTGTCTACTAATTTCCCAAGAAGAGTGGTTGAACTCTGTTGGTTGGGGTGTCTGGTTGGACAATTTTCACATGATAGGGCAACAGGGAACAGCTTTGCATTTGCTGGAGGGACTGAGTGCCAGGAGAGCTTTCTGATCTCTCTGCTCTGGGATAAGCTCAGTACATTAAAGTAATAGCTTAAGGGTACTTTTGGGGCTTAGTTATAATGGCATCTTACAATAACGTAGAAATCCTGCTTAAAACAAATCCAGAGTGGGAATTAAATACGCTAGCCTCTGTGTGCTTCTGCCTGATGTCGCTGCTTATGACAACATTCCCTTGTTTCTAGAGGCCGTCTGGAATTTCCTTCAAGCACTTTGAAGGGCTGTTGCGGTTTTACAAGCCACGGATGTGTGTCAGAGAGCGATATCTGACTTTCAAAGCACTGAATCAAAGCAATACTCCTTTAGTCAGGTAGGTCTTACTGGTCTTACTGCTGCACCCAGAGCAGGGAGGTTGCTTCACTCTCTGAAACGAGGCTGTACTTCAGAGAGGATGGCTGGGTTTATGGAAGGAAACTTGTCTGGGATGTGGGAATAGCGTTATGTGATTGAAAGGATTTGTCTGGGAAGCAGGGAGTTTGGAGGGGTGCGTACCCTGAGAGTTGAGGTTTTTCTACGGAGGTGATGGAGTTCCTGCGTGCCCTCTTGTGGATACAGCGCTCTGCTGGCAGTCACCAGGCAGCCTCTGTTTCCCACCTCCCCTGCCAGAACAAAGGAGCGAGAAATTGAGGAACAGCATTAGAGCCTGCAAGGAGCATTTCTTCACACAGTGCAGCCTCGCAGCTTAACAAGTTTTTGTTTTTTTCCAGCAGCTGGCTGTGTCCCCCAGGGTTTTGTTAATTAAAATCTGGTTCTGCTGGTGCTTTCAGGACTGTCATCCTCTGTGTTATGAGGCAGAGAATTACCATTCTGGTGGGTGGGTGCAGCTAACTCCAGCCAGCATGGAAGTAGAGGGAATTAGAGCAGGAGACCTTCTCTTCCTTTTCCTTTGTTCTGGCCACAGACAGGCTCGGAGTGAGTCTCCCATGAAACTGGTGCCGATGCTTCTCCCTAAAGTCAAGTGCCACAGAGAAGTGTTGAAAATGGCATGGGAAGAAAGGCTGAGTTCTTAAATTTAGGCACCTAATGACACTAGTAAGAGTCTGAGAAGTTCAGCATCCTCACTTTCAGATGCCTAAAAGCTGTTACAGTCCTGACCCTAAGCAGCTAGACAGGCATTCACGTTTTATGAGTTTCTTTGCTTTCATGTCCTTTTTCAAATTTCATCGTTACCTTGAAAAGAGAATGTGCAAAGACGTTAGAAAAGGACTGTACGAGTAATTAAGACAGTCCAAGACTTCTTCATGAAGAGTAGTGCAATCTCTATCCCTTGGAGTTTGCTATCTAAGCCTCAGGTCTTTCCTCTCAGTGGTAAAATTCTGGAGTTCAGCAGAGTCAGAGTTTCCTCTAAGGGCTGTAGTGTTACAGAAAGAAGGTAGGCTTTGCACCCTGTTCTGGCTATTGTAAGGCAGTAACCTTTGGCCAGATGGGGAAGAGGTCAGTGTTGAGTTATATCAGCTGTGGTTGCAGTTCTAATAAGGAGTTAATAACTTCCAGGGACTCTCTACTGATGATGCCTGACAAGGACAATTAAGGATCTAATCAACTCCAAGGCTCTGATCAGATGCTTCTTTCTGTTTTGCAGTCTAAAGGATTTTTACAATTTCTATGAAGTTGTTGGCTTAAAATGGAAGGTAAGTATTTATTGGGTGGAGAAGAGGGGAAGTGTGTGTGGGAGGGAGGGCAAAGGAGGCCAGTGATTAAAGAGAAGGTGGGGGAGACACAAAGGCAATCTAAAAGAAGCAGATGATGGGGATAAGTTGGGTCTCCATTTTTTGTATGGATGTAGCATTGACTTCTGATCGTGGCTGTTCCGCTTCCAGGCAAAACGAAATCGCGAGCACTGGTTTGATGACCTTCCGCGGACAGCATTCCTTATTTTTAAAGGTAACAGGCTGTGTTTTCACGACAGCATGTGTTCAACTAACAGGAAAAGCATTTCTTTACAAAGACAGGGTCCTCTGAAGGGACCTTCTCTTATGTCCCTGGTAAACAGCTGAGGGAAGGCCTACTAACCAACTCTCTGTGTATTCAGTCTCCAAGGAAGATTTCTGTCATGTAAATATTCCCTGTGCTCTGACCCAAACCCCAGGTTCCTTAAAATAAGATACCTCTTGGCAGAAGCTCTGTAGCGAACCAGACCCTGAGGTCATGGAGGGCTGTATTCCTTTTTCAGCACGGAGGTTAGGTGGGGATTTATGATTGCTGAATCTGGTAGAGTTTATAGAGTTTCTCCATATCCCAGCTGGCAACTCACAGCAGTGACTGCGGAGTGGGATTTGTGTTTTCACAAAAGCTGCTAGTCTTCCTAGTCCCAAGATGTGGTTGCAGCGCTCATACAGTGCAAATGTGATTTATCTCCCATGTCCTGAGTTTCCTGACTGAATCTATCCATTCAGAAATAAGAACTTATCTGCAATTCTTTTTCAGTGTTGTATGCTAGTGGGAAACAGTTAACACCATCTTGATCCAAACACACAGCTGCCATAGGAGTCCTACATATCTCTGCTGATGCACTCAACCCTCCTTGACAGCATATGTATTGTTCCAAACACAGGCAGTGCTTCAGCAGCTGCATTTCCCTCTGTCCACACCACAGAACTAGTACATAGAGAAAAAAAAAGGCATCTCGGGGGTTAAGGATAATGAGTTCATTGCTGCTAAAATTCTAGAGGAAATTTGAACTTGATCCCAAGAAGTAGAAGTTAATAATCTGCTAATCTGCTTAGTTTCTGTGCTGAGGGCTGGTATGAAAAATGTCTCTAAGGAGAAGATAGAGGAAGCTGCGTGTGAGGTATGGAGGATTGCGTAAACATTTGTTTTGTCATACTTTCCTTCACGCAGGCATCAACATCCTTGTGAATTCCCGCGTGTTCCAATACACCATGTGTAAGTAGAAGTAACGAGCTGTCTCTCTGCTAGGCTCCCTTCATCGTGTGGATCTGGGATGCTCTGTCTGTGCCAGCCCCTCTGACTCATCGTGGTGGGGCCTGGTCTTTGGTTTGAGCCATGGCTTGCGTGCAAATTCTGGAGTTTTGATGGAGAGGGAGGGAGCTGCATGTTCGTACCGATCGCTGCTGCAACCTGGGCTCTCAGCTCTCTCTGTGTTCAGTCCTCTGGAGAGGCTCATTGGTTCACTGCTTCATAACGCACTTGTGGGTCTGATTCTGTGGGTAGGATTCAGCTTGTTGCATTTGGGTAGGCTGGTGGTTAGCTTTCACAAGCCTTGAGGTTTTTATCTTGCAGCTGAAGGATGCTGGGTAAGGAACTGCCTTGCCAGTCAACCACCTTCTTCTGTTTGCACTTGAGAAGGTGCAAGCATCCTCGTTGCTGGAGGGATTGCTTGGTAACTGTACTGCCTGCAAGAATGATTCTGTGCTCCTCTTCTCTAGAGGAGAAAGAGTGCTTACTTGTGGTGCTACTCGCTATGTTCTATACGATCTGTACTCAGATAATTTGGGGGGTTTTTTTGAATGTTGGAGGAGATGTTTTTTGTAAATTCAGATGCTAAACTAAAGAGAGTGGGGTGGGGTGGAGTGAGATCTGAGTGAAAAGTAGAAGTCCTGCACCTTCGGTTCTCAGGATTTGAATGTTGGGGAGCAGCAATAGATCCAAGCTGACAGGGCTTTGTCCTGCACTGTTGGGCCTCTTGCTTTGTCCTGTGCTGCTGGGGACCTAGTGGTTCTCAAGATCTTGTTCCAGAACTAGGAGGAAGCTGAAATATGCAAGTAATAATATGGCAGAATGTAAAGTAATTATGAGTAAAAATGATTGAGCATGATTCAGACCATTGTTTTAGTTTTGTTTCCTTCTGCAGATAAAGGTACCGCATCTGTTAAAGGCCTGGGAAAGGGTAGTTTTGCAACTCTCCCAAGTTATGAGTTCAATTTGTTAGTTGAATTGGAAACACTGACCCTGCCTCTTGTCCTATATTGTACTCTCTTTGTTAGCCTAGGAAATGGATGTCCTCTGGTCCAGGAGTGTTTTTGCTATGGGTTTTTACTTTGTTTTCCAGATACTGTGGTGGCTGTGAATGGAATTTGGATTCTTGTTGAAACCTTCATGCTGCAAGGTAGGAAACATCGCATCTTGTTTCTTGACTGTGATGCTGAGGGATTGAATAAAGGGAAGGCTAGAAAAAGTTCTTCTTGTGTCTTGCAGGAGGGAATTTCTTCTCCAGAAACGTCCCATGGAGCTACATAGTCTTCCTCACAAGTAAGCTGATGCCTCCTAACAGAACTGTGTCTTTTTGTAAGGAGTTGGGAGGGGAATAGACAGCTCTGTTCCCAGAAGATTATTCAGTTTGAAGTTAAAACTTAGCCACAGACTAAGTGTAAGACTTAGGTGTACAGACTCCATCTAGAACAATGCTGTGCCTGGCGGGGATCATCAGCATCCACACAGACCCACGTGAACACTGCTGCACTGTTACACAGCTCCCTGCGCCACTGCGGTCTGGGGAGCCTCTTACCTCTGGTGCAACTCTCTGCAAAAGCTGCTGTATTACTCTTAAAGCTGGCTTCAGCCCTGAGAGCAGAATAGCCTTTTGTTAGGCACAGCGTGCAAAGTGATAAGCTCCTCCAGACTTGTGATGGCTCTGTGTGGAGTTGCTCACGTTGCTCTGTGCTGCACTGACTATTCCAGGAGGCATTACCAGCTCTGATCTGATTGCAGCTGTGAGCTGGCTCTCTGCCACGCAAAGCAAGGCAGTCCTGTTGGAATACAGAATGCAGGGGCATGCTGAGGAGAAGTCTGAAAGGACTAGGTGAACTAGTTGACGAGCTGAGTTTTCTAATTGAACATCATCCCCTCCGTAAACGTGTACCTTAGTCTTCCTTTTCAGCCCAAGTATAAGCAATTGCAACTTCATGTGCTGGTTCATTGCACTGCCATGGAACTCTTCAGTGATGTGAATTCACTTTCCTTCTCCTGCCAGTGTCTCTTGCTCAAGAGGAGAAGAAAAGTATAGCTCCTTTGAATCAAAATAGTGTGTAAAACTGCAGCAGGAGGTTCTTTGGAGAATCTAGGAGAGGTTGCTAGCCTCTTACTTGACTGCTGGGTAGCTCTAGTGCTTCCCTGGCCCTTAGTCTTCAAAGCACTTGTTATGAAAGTTGGAAGGCAGAGGCACTCTGCAACACTTCTTTTCACAAGGATGTGGTCATCCAGCTCCTCGCTTCTCTCCCACCTTGGAACCTGGAAAGAAAGACTTTGGGATGACTGAACCAGGGCATCATCATGTTATTGTGGCATTCCCTTAACCTACAGGCTCACAAGGTGCTGCCAGGACAGGGGGTGAAGCATTCAGATGGCTCCCCTTCGAAAGGATCTCTCCCTGCAGGTCAAGGCTAGGCTACGAGATGCGGATATGTTCCGCTGAGATAAAAGGAAATAAACAGGCAGGACTGAAGTCCCCACACCACTTTCTGGCCTTTCCTAGAGGAGCTTGTGCCTCAACATTTATAGCGTGTTAGCCAACTAACTGCTTTGTAGACTGCTCTGGAGAGAAATTACCACGAATACAGGAAAATGTGTTGATTTGGAGGGAAAATGTCTCTTTGGCATCTCACTGAGAATAAGGAGGATGGGCGGGAGTCTGTTAAACCTACGTTCAGCAGTCCTGTACTCAAAGCACCACATATCTTTGAGGGCAAGCCTTTGCATGAGCCCTCCATGTGATGCTGCTTATTTCTGTCCATGGCTGTCATCTTGTTTTACAGTCTATGGCGTGGAGCTGCTCCTGAAGACCACTGGACTGGGGCCTGTCGAGTACCTGTCCTCGGGTTGGAATCTGTAAGTGCATACTGACGTTTTGAGAGATGGCAAAAATTGTTGGGTTAGAAATACTGACTTCTGAGGTGAGTTTTTAGGCCCGTAGACGAGGCCATCAGCAGGCTATTATAATCCTTCTGCCCTTGGCCTTGCGCATCTTGTTAGGCTGGAGCAGCACCAAGTACCTCCTCTCTGCTGAAACACTAATGATAAATCATTGCTCTTATTTTATATTTTTTTTCTCTCTAGCTTTGACTTCTCAGTCACTCTGTTTGCATTTTTGGGGCTCATGGCACTGGCGTTTAACATGGAGCCGTTCTACTTCATTGTGGTCTTGCGACCCCTTCAGCTGCTGAGGTGAGACGGGAAGGCTGCGTGGGGGATGCAGAGAGCAGGTGGGAAAGAAAACAGCCAGGCTGGTTTTCCATCAATCCAGTTGGGAACTGAGCTCCTTACCAGGAGAGGGCAAGGATTGCTCTGTGGGTACGTGACCATGGCAAACAGGAATTGCTATGTGGGGTAATGAGATTAGCCAGAATTATCAAAATGAACGATAACAAAAACTTGGGATGGGATATGAAACCCCGTGCTTTGGAGCTTAAGCTGATCTCTAATAGAGATCAAGGGATTTATCGGGGGCAGATTATCCTGTGTCTGCCTTCATGGGGTTCTTACACCTCCTCTAAATTGTCTGATGCTGTTCAGAGAAAAGCTCTTCTGTCAGGGTGAGACAGTCTGAGCCAGTTTAATAATTTCCATTGAATTACCAGAAATTACAGTTTTCAAAGGATGCTGCTTTCTAGGGTGGAGTACAACCCTGCTCTAACTGCATCTCACACTTTAAGCAAGACTGCGGCCTGTAACCTCTCTGCAGCTCAGTAAGATGGGTCTGATTAACCCTCTCATTTCGAAACTGTTACGGAGGTACATGCACCTTCGCAGAACGCTTTGAGAGCCGTAGGTGGAAGGCATTTGAGAGGCAAAATGTTGTTTTGTTAAAAACAAGCTAATGTAATTTAGCTCTTCAGTGAGGATTTGAAGAACACTTTATGACGCTCAAGGGGGGGGGGGGGGAGGTTCTTC